GAAAGGAGTTACAAGTTCAGTTCCTGCCTGCTGTCATTGGTTTACTTCAGCCGAGACTCTAATCCTAGCTTCTACAGAAACTGAGTGTGATGGATCGAATCCTGGGGTTTATTTTCATTTTTCTTTGGTTTTGGTTGTTTGGTGTTTCTTTTTTAAAGGGTGTTAATGCTTCCCATTTAGTCTTAAACTAGCGTATCCTGAGAATATTGCACACAGAAATTTCCCACACATGCAGTTAGATGCCCAGGTACATCTTTGAATCAAAGTTAATAGATAGAAGCAAGGGAAAGTGAGGTGAAAAGGACTGAAGTGAACTGATTTAATCAAGAAGGGATGAGAAGTGGGTGAGTGGTACAAGACCACATTATCGGCTCCGTTTGCTCTCCTGCACTAAAATCCCACCGATCTAGAAGAGCTGTTAATCAGATGCACAAGCAAGAGGGCACATGCCATCCATGATGTCTCCAAGAAACCTTACAAGTATTAGAAATGTGCTTGATTGTGATTGCTACTTAACCATTATTTCCTTCAGCTCCTCACAGCTTTAGTATGTATTTGTTTCTTCATCTAAGGTTAGTAGCCAAGTGGCCCTTGAGTGTAGCCCATGCACACGGTGCGTAGCAGGGGGAGACCTTAGCTTTGAAGACCTTCCATGGTTGAGATAAAAAGGAATAGTTACAGTGTGTGCTCAAGCTGTTTAATAAGTCATTTTCCACTTTTTTTTTCCATAGGAAACATTTGGCATTCTTATCCTATTGATACATGCTTTGGTAAAATTCAAGACTCTCAGCAGGTTGATAGAAAGCAGTGTTTCTCAGCAGCAGCCAGTGAGGAGCTGATGGGGATCACAGTCTATACATGCTCTGTAAGCTGATCACGGACAAGAGCTAGGCATGCATTCCCATGCACAAAAGCACGGGGTCAGTACGAGGAAAGTAAGGGTTGTGTGTTGTAAGTGTTGCTCAGATTTTATTGGCTTGAAACTGATCTGAGCACCTAAAGCAGGAGGCAGTCTGTCCTACTTTTTCCCCTCAAAAAACTATACTCCAGAGAATGACAGTAGCCCTGTGCATAAGCACTGTAAATCTGTAGTGCCTATAAACCTGTATGTTCTCACGCTACCTGATGGACAGATTTTAGTGGTTTTGTATGACATTATCTGGACATTGTTGATATCAGGTATAGCTAAAACTCTGGCTCTAATGTCTTCATCTGAGGAGGTTGGCCAGAATCACAGTAAAGCTGAGTAACATCTCTAAGGCAAGAATTGTCTTTGATTGATTGAGGATCTTAAATCTAGCTCAGAGTTTACCCTCATGAAGATAAGAGAGGCATAGTGTTTTTTCCTGTCTGCCTGAGACCAAAAAAAGTAGGGAGTAGACCCATGGACTCCAGGCAGGGCTTTGGTTAGCTCCAGACAGCCTTTATCTTGCAGATTTGACTGAAGTCAGGAGAGATGTACAAGTACATCAATGCAAACTTTCTTCTGCATAACAAAGACAATTTAAAACCAAACTGCATTCCTTGTAACAATATCTAAGTTCAGTTAAATTATAATATTGCAGAATTCTTGTTAGACATAACGTGAATGATAGTTTTGATAACAGGCTTGAAAATCTGCTTAATGTAAGTCATGCGTTCTGCATTATTCTGAGTGGAACCATGTGCTGTGGTTCTAAGAAGTAATTTGCTAATTTATTGTAACAGCCCATTTAATGGAACTTTAATGAAGAGTAGTCCTTAAGGCAATTTTAGGTTTCATGTGTGTAGGAGGAATATTTGAACAACGTCATCTTTAATATTTTTAGCTTGGGATTTTTATTGGTATATTAGTACAAGGGCTGTGTTTCCAGTCTAGTTTTGTGACAGTGCCACAAATTAAATGCAGTTTCTCAACTGACAAAGACTTGCCAAATGCTATCCTCATAGCGGGAGAGGCTATGTGAGTAGCTACAACATCAGAGTAACCATGGCTTGCAATGGCATCTTTGTTTTTTTCATTTCTGAGAGGAAGGAAGCTGTATTGGATTTAAGAAGGCTGTATTAACAAAACTTAGCAGCAGTAAGGTTCTCTCTTGGCTGCATGTATGTGTGTATGGTGAACATATGAGAAATGTAATTTTTTTCCTCTGATATGAAACAAGTGTGAAATTGAAAATCTTCGCACTTTTTATTTATTTATTTATTTATTTATTTATTTATTTATGGCCAGCCCTACTTTATTAAGCTAACATATTTATACAAAATGGGGAGTTCTGAATTTGAGTAGAGATGTCCCTAAGAACACCACTGCCATTATAAAGCTAAAAATTTAAAAAGAGGATAAATTCCTTTTGTGTGGCAAGGAGAGCTGGTTAGATTTACATATCAAATGCATTTAGTTTTTTTTTCTCTTCTAAGCACTCCTGAACTAAGCTAGTTGTTCGGGGCATTTGTTAAATTATGTCACTTGGGAGGTGCAGGTAATTCCTAAGCTGTTGTAAAGTATGACCAGTTATATATAAATTTTAATATAAAGTTCTGTATGTCTTTTCTCAGTGACAGCATTGCTTTTCCCCCATCCCCTTACACAGGTCTCTGTTGCTTATTCCTTCTTTGTGCTCTTATCCTTATGCATCTATCACTGGTTGTGGTAGTATTTGCTGAACTACAGGAGTAAAATGCCTGGATTTCAAAGGAGCTCTCCAAATTATGTGCAGGCCCTCAGCTCCAAAGCTGAGGAAGCAGTGGGAAAAGGGGAGTGCGCAGCTGGGAGTGCTGATGCAGAAAGTGGCAATGCCCTCACCCTCCCACTGTCATAGGAAGAGAACAATATCTAGCTCTGCACTGGAGCCCAACTGGGATTACGGGTGTAGGGGTCAGGCTGCAAGACTGGTGGACGGTTCTCCTCCTATGCCGCATTGGCCACAAACTGGACTGTTTCCACAGTCCTTCTTTGTACCACTGCTGAAGTGTTTTGTTACCGAATTGATCCAATTCTTGAACGTAACACGCATACTTTTTGCAGAAAAGACAGATAAGTGGTGGGAAGTGTTTTAGGAAAATCTCTGTTTGCACTCCCGGAGCCTTTTCTGACTGGGCCTTGAGGAAAGAGAGAACTCTTTGCATGGGCAAACATTGTTTTGTACCTCATACACACACACACATGCACAGACGTGTGCATACTCATATGCCCATACCACTTGTGATCAGTCCCAACAACTGTTCACGATGCAATCAATAGTTACAAAACTGCAATGGCAAGCTGGAAGGTGAATTATATGTTGCTATGGATATAATGGTTTGCCTAGAAGAGCAGGTCAAGTTTTCAAAAAAAAATTACTGATGTAGGGTGCTAGAGGTCCGCTCTTTCATTGTGAACTTGATTTTCTGAAGTGGTGTGCTTCTGAAAATGAGGCTCTTCAAAGCCATCTTAAGACTCGACTAGCAAAAATATTTTTATGTCCCACTGTTTGTCATCTTTGTGGTAAAAGCAAAGAAACGTGAAAGTATCGGAGCAGCACTGCACTGTAAACACATACCAAATTGAATTGTTTATTAAGGAATGTTTATTAATGCTACTTTAAATTATTAGGCTGGTTCAAAAAGTCACTTACTTTTAAGAATGTACTGAAGTGCATGCTTCAGTACTTTCCTGAACAGAGATGTTTTTCTAAACTGATTCAGTAACAAAACAACTGGATTAGAACTAAAGGTAAACACCAAGGATGTCTTCAGACATCAGTATGTTAAATATAGTGGAAGCACTTAGGTGGAAAGAACAATAGAAGAAAACATCGAATGAGGTATTTTGGAAGAATTTTTTTCTCTTCTTTTATAAATCCAGAATTTTAAAGCTTTTCTAGACCCCTTTGTTTTAGTAGATGTGTTCTAAATTTATGTGTGCATGTACATATATAAACACACATTTAATATGTACATAGATATATACACACACTATATGCATATGATGTTCAGGTGTAACACATGGGAATAAATAAGGATGTAGCCTGCAGATATGATGCTCTAGCCTGAAGAGGTGGGAGCTGGCAAGAAAATTTGCCTATATATTTGCACTTCCCAACAGCATGCTTGACCAAGTTGTCCAGATCTCCTCCTTCTGAACCATTTTCAGCCACATGAATAACAAAAAGAGGAAAATCACAGGCTACACAATTTATCCCATTGCTAGAATGGACTGGGACAGTTCTTCACACTAAATATCCAGATTTTCTCATTATGCACATCCCAGTCCCCAGAGCCCTCCTTAGAAGTCTGTTAGCAGCTCTGATCCCTACAGAGCTCTTAAGCTCCATCTCTGCTCATACAGAATTTAGAAAACATGTGGCTTTGGATAACTGCCCATACATTAGACTGTCCTGATTAAGCAGTCCCTACTGTCCCTACTTTGGTATAAATAGAGTCGGATCATATGTGTAGTGGAGAGCAGTGAAGAGAATCATACAAATTAGATCCTGAAAATGTAACATTTGTAATGTTGCTCCTTTGCTCAGCCAGTGCTTCATCTGCAGAAATACTTGGTACGGTTTCTTCTTAATCAGTTCCAATGAGAGAGAGCTTTTGTAGTAATGAGTGTTGCTGTGCTCACAGCTTGCTTTCACTGGGAACTGAGAAACTTTAGCTGGAACTTAAATAAGCTATACTAGTGCTTCACAAAACCCAGCACTGAGGACACAACCTGATGAAGGGCTGTGCAACTTGTATATACATCTACTTATCTGCTCTAGCCAGGGCAGGCAGATCTCAAAAGCTGTAGATAAGTAGTCACTGAAGCCTAGACTGAGTACCAGCACTGGGCTTACCAGAAAGTTACTGTCCCTGGAGTTCTCCATGGTGAGAACCAGCCATTAGAAGGAAGATCATAAATACTGTTGAATTTAGATGCCAGTTGTCTGGCAATTGCTGTGTCTCAAGCTGCTGGCATAATTCTTTAGTCCCCCCATGCTGTGCTATTACACCACATTCAGAAGGGAGAAAAAAAAAACAAAACAACAACTGTGTAAATAAACTTCTTAAAATTACTTTTTCTTGTTTCAATATCTTAGCACCCCTGAGTTAGTATATTGAAATATTAAATTAGGAACCTGTCCACAAAGATGTGATCTCTTTAGAGATGCATATTTTTCCCATAAGTGATGGTGTTTTCCAAACACCTTTTAAATAATTCATAGTCAGAAACCAGAATGTAGAAGACTTTTAAGTAAAGAGTGTCAAGTCACTTTTCATTATTCATCTTGGTCATATTAAGTTCTTGCTGTGCATTTTTCAGTGTTTTATTTTTCTGAAGCTGCTTGTTTGGGAGAGCTCAGACAATTTTTGGCCCTGTTAAAAATACCTTTTTCGTTAGATTTTCTCTCTCTATTAGGCAAACTGAAAAAGGAGGAAGTTCATTTCTGCTAAATCAGCTCTCCAGAACCTCTCCAGCACTCCTTAGTTTGTTTCTCCAGAACCTTCAGAAAACATGATCTGTTAGAGTGATATCTGCTGATCTCTCGCTACATCTTGATCACTTTCTGAACATGTCGGCTCTTGGTAGGAGTAGGAGGGCATGGCAACTGTCTATGCAACCCAGGTATTTCAGCTCCAATCCATCACACCTGGGGGTAGAAGGTTCATTTCACCAAACTTCACTCTGATGCCGAACAGTGTTGATGGTTAGAACCCCATCTTGTTGTTCTCAGCCAGAAGAGCAGTGGTTGTAAGTAGAACAGTTTCTAAAGTTAAGGAAAATGTAGGAACCATGCTATAGGATGCAAACTCTGAAGCATGACAGGGAAACACAGAATTTTGGATGGGGAAAATATGCAATACCGTCATGCATTCTATTGATTTGGTTACATTAATTAATGACTGTATATAAACACTAATTTAATGCTTCTGTAAAATTTTAGGAGATTCAAAGCCAGCTTTTTACTGCTCATTCTGTAGGGATTTTTCAGAAGAATTTCAAAAGATCAGCCATCTTTCTCTTTCACTGATAAGGCCATTCTGGTTTATCTCTGACATTTGTAATTGCTGTATAGGAGTTGTTACTGCCTTTTCCCTGTTTGGATTCAGCTGCTGTTCTCCTTCCTTATTGGTCTTTCTAAATTCCAGGTCTGGACATACATAAGCAGAAGGAAGGATTTGTCTTCCCTTTCCTTAGCAGCCTCTTGTATCCCCTCCTTCAGGGCAGGCTTTGGGCTGAAACTGCAGTACCAGAACTCAAGTTTTATCCCTGCTCACCATCTCCTCTGCCATTCATCCTGTTTCTTCAAGGAAGAAATATGCTGTGGTTGGGAATCCAACAGACACAGCTTCCTCTGACATGCTCAGCGAATGTTTTCATTTTCAGCAGAAAAAGGCTTTTCAAAGGCATTCCTTATTCACTTGAGACCTGTCTGCGGTTCTTGCTTACTGGACAGAATTGTACTTACTTTCTGAGATGATGGGCCCTTAAATAAATGGAATGAAAACATGTGCATGTGAAGACATAAAAATGGAGTGATTTTTGTGTTTGCCCACAAAAGGTTAATGTTTGCTGGAAAGAAACTTGATTGTACAAGCATCTTAAGCTAAACATAAAAGGCTAAGCGTATGTAAGAGAAGAAAATTCATTGTAAATTAAAAAAAAAACAAACCAAACTGTGTAATTTTCACAGTTCTGTTGCTCTTTGAACTATTTGTCTCCGTTCTGTGCTTCTCCATATTGTGGTATAAACTTCTGAAGTTGCAGAATTTTTCCTCTTCGCTGAATATTGCATGGAATCTCAGTATTCATTTCTACTCAGGTTCAGCTGCGATCTTCCTAATAGATACTTGGCTTCTGTGTTCCCCTAATATTCCAGGCACTTTTGCAGTTTCTGTGCAGACAAGCTTGCATACTCTTTCATCTTTGTTTCTTCACATCCACACATGATCCATAGAATAGCTGCCTTCTTGCAGGTTCATGTTTATGTCTGGAAAGGCAGAAGTGTCTATAGTTTAAGACGGCAAAAACAGCCAAGCATTTTTAGTTCTAACCTCTTGTTTTCCTCTATTTAGGATTTCTTCAAACTTTTGCAGCCTTAGGTGGCTTTCCTCCAGTGTTTGTCTCCAAAATTGAGGGAAAATAAAAACATTTTAATTATATGAAGGTTATGTATTGCTGAAGCTTGTAAACATGATGTAACATACCTTTAGGGACTGCTAATTGTTTGAAAATGGTTTAATGTTAATATAGCTGATACCTGGGGTATATTTATTTATCCATATTTTTGAATCTATATATGCCTGTGTGCAAGTCACCATGCAGGCAAAAACAGTATATCTGAGCATTTAATCATAAACTCCCAGGAACTGCGGTTCTTTGATTACCTGCAGTTAGTAGAACTTGCTAAATGTTCTTCTGTCAGTCCACAAAATCTATAAACAGATTATCTTTGCATTTCCTTATCTCTTAAAATCAGAAAAAAATAATAAAGATAAAAGCTTTAGGATCTCTTGATTTAGAGAATTTGTTTCCAGCAATGTTAACAAAGCCATAATATACCCTGATTTTCTGTTCCTGCAAGCTTGCAGTATTATTGACAGCTTGCAGTCTATCTCATTATGCAAGTTCTGCATAATGACTGAAGGAACACTTCAAAGCAGAACAGAGGGTTATTTGTAGAGCAGTGCATGTAGGATATTTTAATAACTTTTTTTAAAAGAAGAATATGCTGATTCATTGAAACCAGTGAAACAGTACATTTTGATAAGTTACCCAACTCAAAAATACCTTGAATTAATGGATTAAAATATCTTGGTTTGTACATTTTCTTTTATTTGAAAATATATCCCTTTTCTTCCCTTTCTCTGTTTCTCCCTGTTTCTCCTTGATTCTCCCTGTTTCTGTCTCTTCCTGTCTTCGACTTTTGCATTCCCCCCTCTTATTGCTCTTTTGCTCTCATTATCTTTCTCTCATCCCCTCTTTCAAACCAACCTTTTATTTTATAACTGCCATAGATTTGGAGCTTATAAATATGTCTAAAATATTTTGCTTTATCCAGGCTGAGATCTGTTCTATTTTTTTTATTTTTTTTTTTTTTTAGATTTCAGCATGTTAAAAGATCAGAATAATCTTCCTAGTAAATGAATTCAGTTGCTTGCTCTTAAAATCAGGTTTTTTTCCACTCCACCAGTTTATGAGAAGACTGTTTACAAATTTACTTCCCTTTATGCTTAGATTAGTTTGGGATTTGTTGATTTCCCACCCCTCAAGATAATGTTAGTGCTAGCATCCCGAAGTACAATTACTTTTTTGCCTATCCCAGTGTTGTTTCTTCTTGGGTATTTGCCAAGAGCCATCATACGTCCCCTCTGACTTCACTTCACTGAACTCACAAATCAAGTTCTTGCCATCACCTCATGGACCGGAGGCTTTTCATCCTCTTTTCTGTCTTGGCAGCCCTTTGGCTGACCATGACTGATCAGACCGTAAATAATATTCCCAATGAAGTCTTGCCTGCACTGAGGGTTACAACATAAAATAATTTCCTCTAATAGCATCCCACTGGCTTTTTTTTCTTTCCCGTTGTATATCACACACCTAGCATACAGATATTGTGCAACCAAACAATACCTTACAGCTTTTTCCTCCCATTGCCTCCAGCCATTTGTAGTCCTAACTTAGAACATGAAACTGTTTAATTAATTCCAGAGTGTGATCTTCTAGATTCTTATGTGACATTTAATTCTATTATTCCTGATCCTTAAAGTAATTCTGTTTTTTCTTGCATAATATTTCAAAAGTCCTTCCTTCTTTTTCTTAGATCAGGAAAAGTATTTCTGGTCTACCTCTGCTATTATTATACAGTTCTTCTCTTAATGCAGAATTAATACTCTATTTTGTGCATGTATAATATTAGGAAGTCCCTGGATATGTTTAATTGACTGCATTAAGCACATAGTATGACCACTGGCCTTGGTCATGCCCGTTACTCTTGTGAGTAGTATGAATCTTCAGGTCAAGTGGATTCAACAGCCCCCAAGTGCCTGCCTGATCCTGACAGTTGTGGGTGGCTCTGAGCACAGGAAATCTCTTACCCCAGTATGGAGCTACAGGGCCTGAACACAGCTGGGGACTGCAGTATGTGCTGGAGTGCCATCTTAAATCCAGATTTCATATAGGGAAGGATGGAATTATTTTCCAGACATGTATTGCATCCTACCTGCTTTGAATCTCCTTCCTGCATGTTTAAGACTTGTCCTTGGTTTTAGGATTGCAACATTCTGCTAAAAAGTCAAGCTCACTAAAATCAAGTTTGTGAACATGTAAATGCAGAAGAACTATCTGAAGAGACATATATGTTGTTTTGATTTTGTACTGGCCATGGTAAAATTAGTAATGCCTTCTTCTTAGCTGACAAATTAAAAAGTCAAGATTTCTATGTATTTGTTAAATACTTGTGACCTGAAACCTACACGTGGTTTCATTGGTATGACTGAGGCACGGAATCTGACATTTTAATTGCTTGAAATTGAGCAAAAGAAATTCAAAGAAGGAAAACCTTCTGATTTTTCTTTTTTCTTTGGGGGTTTTGGCACTCTTTTAGAGGAAATTACTTCTTTGGATTGGCCTTTTAAATCCTCTACAGAAGAGAAATGAGGAAATAAATCTTTAAAGTAGGTCAACATCACACTAATTATTGCTTTAATTAGTGACAGCCACATCATAATTTTTTTATTTTGCTCATTTTAACAGGAGTCAGAGATATCCCAATTTTGCTAATTTGAAAGCAGTTGTGTCTGTGATTTTCAATGGACTTCACCCTGTCTGTCAGATTACCTGGAAGCATACATGGTAAAAAAATTAAAAGGCTGTACCTTTAGTTTTCCAGTCACAGCTGTTCATTTCATTTTATCTACAGATATTAGTAGACTATATGTGGTCTAAAGAAAGAACAAATAGCAAAATGTTCTTAATTAGGTTTGAAAAACAGCAGTGAAGGTGAGAGCTTTTTACAGTGACCTGTACTCTCACGAAAAAATGTTCTCTCAGTTGATTGCATTGTACTCTGGACGTATAACAGTAAATCAAACCATAAATCTTTAAATGGTCCAAAAATACTTTAAACACCTCTAATAGTTCTAGTTTGTGAGAGCTGAATGGTGTATGAGGTTCAGATTCTTTTACGCAGATTATGTAAAATGGCACATCACAATGATGTGTCATAACTCTCTGAAGTAGGGAAGACCTATGTGTGTCAGGTTTTTTCATGTTCCAAACACCATAAAGATGTCTTCAAAGAATTCTGAAATTCTTTGCTAGAATTGCTGAGAAAATAATGCTACTGCCTTGCTTTGTAACCCCTTTGCCAGCTGCATGCATTCATTAAGATCAGTTTAAATGTGCCCTGGTTAGTTGCTGTGAATAGAATATTGCATCTTGTATTTTCTTGTACAGAACACTTACACAAAACCTGTTAGTGATGGAGTTAACAACATTTTAAGTACTTTTTTTACAAGTATTAAGTGTGTATTTGTTAACATTATTTAATGTGCAACCTGTACTTCACCACATAATAAACAGGATTACTTTTAATACAGTGAATTATAAACTAATCTTCACATGAACAGTACATGAAGTTAATCTTGTAGTTTCCTGGTGCTAATCAAATTGTCCTTAAGTTACACTTTCAAATATTTTATAGTAAGAGTGTATTTCAAGTTTTGTTTTTCTTCCCGCTTTTCTGATTTTGAGACTACTTTAGTCATATTTTTTTAAGACTACTTCAGACACACAAATATTTAATACTAAGAAGTGCTGTACCCTTGATACCCACTATGCTATCAAAGCAGTTCTGATTAAGAGAGAATTAATTCATGTTAGACTGCAAATTAGTATCTCTATTATCTCACTCCTCAGTTATTGTGGCAATTTATCAGTATCAGCAGAGCTAAGTAATGCAAAAGGAATGTAACGAAGTTTGTGCAGAGGGTGAAGATGAATTTCATGCCATACCTTGTAGACTGGCTCATCCACTGTCCTGCACTGTGGCAGTCGCAGTTGTGCACCAGGTCTTGACATGCCAGACTGGGGCTTTTCCTCTGCATCTTTCAGTGGAGGCACCAGGGAAGATCCTGCTGCTGGGACAGTCTCTGCAGAGTGGAGGCAGTGGGAGAGAGCTTGTTCTGCTGGAGGGCTTCCTTTGCTTATCACCTGACTTACCTGTGCTCTACACGTTTCTCGGCCACCACCTTGAGTACGGGAGGACAAGTGAAACCACATGAAATAATGGCATTTAGTCAGCCTGATTCATAGGCTTAATTTTAACTTTTTGAAGAGCATCACTGGGCAATACCTTGACTTTGCCTCTTGGTGTTTGTCCCTGAGTGAAACTGATGTCCCAGGCTGCCTCAACAGCTGCAGCAAACAGATAGTAGCCCATTTCTCTTCATATTTTCATGTCACAGCTGACATTGTAGAGTGCTGAATTTATGTGAGGGGGACAGCCTTGATTTCCACCGGGCAGGAGCAAAAAGCTATATTTTCACACTCACCACTGCGATATATTATGACTTGTGCTTGACTTTTTAAAGCTTTTTTTTTTTTTTTTTTTGAGTTCTGAGTGTTGCTTCCAAATCCCTCACACTTGAAGTTCCTCGAATTCGGTTGAAGAGGGAGGAGGGAGCGCGCAGGGTTGCGCGGGGCTGCGCGGCCGCCAGGGGACGCCGTAGGGCCAAGCGCTGCTCCCGTAGCTCCGGCGGCCGTCGCTTCAGGAAGGAAAAAGAAAGAATAATTAAAATTTATGTAAATATATATATATAAATAAAAATATATATAAAGGGGGAGAGGGAGAATGTGTGCTTCTTAACGCTTCTAACTGCAGAGGGGGCTGGCAGGCAGTGCTCCATCCTTCCCCTGGGACACCATGGTTGAATTAGTCTCGGAAATGAGTCTACTCCGAGGAAAAATTGCTGAGAGCAGGTTTTTCTTTCCGTTTTCAGAGCAAGGAAGGAAAATGATGAATATTAAATGCAGGTTACTTTCAGATGCTGCCATCAGATCGTCAATATTCCTACAGCATCAGTATGACATTCAGAAGGGGAAACGCAGGGCTCTGGCATGGTGTGGTTCATCACTCGGGTCTTCAGACCTTGCTTACATCCATTTTTTATGTGCTACATCATCATCACTACCATTATTATTGCTACTGCAGTTTAGAAGGCAGCAAGGTTCCCCGTCTCTGGAAGCTTTCCAAAAGAAAGCTCCATCTATTCCAAAGAAAGTTCCATTTCTTTCCAAACATTAAGAAATATTTTAAAGGCTACATTGAGAGATTGGCAGTGACAATTCTTTACACATTTATGTTTCTTTTGCTATGGAATAATATAAAGTTTATAGTGAATCTTTAGCAACTATTTCCAAGGAGAAAAAAAAAAAGAAGTGAGCTGTGGAGAACACAATGCCTCGATACAGGGGTGGTCAGCTCATGTTTGTAATCCTGCAGTTTAGTTGAGTGCTGAGTGCTTCAGGTCACTCAGGACACATTGCCTTTAAAAGCCCTTCCTGCTCTTTACCTGTGTAAAGGTCAATCTCGGCTGCACCTCATCCTGGCTCACACACAAGCAGGCGAAGATGGACTTTCCTCTGATCCCTGCACAGCTCCCCTGAGATCCTGTGAAACTCTGGGTCTTACAAAGGACATATAAGGAAGAAGGGATGATGAATAAATCATGACAATGTGAGGCTGCATAAATGAACACACACAAATGTGCATATGCATGTGTAGGTAGATGTATGGATGTGTACAGGTATCTCAAAGCAAGAAATGAGAACAGCTATGCAATGCATCAGGAAGGACTTGACCCCAGCTCGCTGAGCTGGAAGGAAAGGATGGAACAGTATGTGTTTACACTGATCTGCTGGACCACAGAGGGGTGATTACAAGGGGATGAAGAGGCAAGGAAAGGATGCGAGAAGGGCAAGAATTGTTCCCTTTATCTCCTTGCAGAGAAGGGTGACCAGTCCCATCTGCAATCCAGTCTGGGCAAGAACTGTTCCCTTTATCCCCTTGCAGAGAAGGGCGACCAGTCCCATCTGCAATCCAGTCTCTGACAAAAACCACACTGCGATCAGGGCTGTCTGCTGAGTTCAGCAAGAAAGAAGGCAAAGCTCTCTAACCTCTAGACAGATAGTATTGTTACCATTACTGTTCTTGTGGTTATCACTGTTACTTAGTCGGTTTGCCTTATTTAGTGCATGAGAGCGTCCCCTGCTTTTGCCGACTGTGGCTGCTGTTTGATAGATGGCAGAGCAGAATTAGGCCACAGCAGATGGCCACGGATGGAGCCTACATGGGAGCTGGACAGAGCCCTGAAAACGTGCTTCAAACCTGGCTCTTTCAGGCTGGGGGGAGGCCGACTGGGAGGAATGCGCTGGGGAGCAGCCCGGGGATACCGTCGAGGCAGTTGCCTCCTCACTTTTGCCCTGCCCGTCCCTCACTCCAGTGCACTCCAGCCCTCTGGGATGCTTGGGTTTGATTCCGCCGGAGTAGCTCCCGCTGCGCCGGTGGCCCGGTGCCGCCAGGAGTCTGGCCGGGAACAGGCGGTGCCGGCGGGCCGCGGTGGGAGCTCGGTGCCACCTCCAGCACCAGGGACAGCGCAAGAAGCGGCCTCGGCCTCTGCTCGGATCCGCCGCTCCTTTGTTCCGCCTCCGGAGAGGCACCGCGGAACAAAGGCTTCCGCCGCCGACTGCGCGGAACCCCCGGCCTCTCCCTTCCCCTCCCCGCATCCTTCGCTCACCCCGCCGCCGTGGCTTCGCCACTGCCGCCACCTCCACCGAAGCCTTGTCTCCTGTGCTCCGGCCGCGCATGCACCTGCCCCCGCGCACTCTGCGCCGCTGCCCCCCGCCGCCCTCTCCCCGCGTGAGCTGCCCCGCACACCCCCCGCCGCTGTCGCCCGTCGCTCCGCGCTCCTAAGCCGCCGCCTTGCGCCTCGCCCCGCGCACAAAGACCGCATGCCGCTCCGCTGCTCTCTGCATCGTTCTCCCCCCGCCGCCCCCTCCCCCCCCCCCCCCGCGCAACCTCCGCACACTGCTCTTCTTCGCGCCTCCGCGCTGCGCCTTCGCACACAGCTCTACTGTGGTGCCCCCTCCGCCCCTGATACCCTTCGCTCCCTGCACCAAAGCCGCACATGGCTCTGCCGGTCCCTAGCACAGATGCTGCTCCGCGCCCCCCCGCGCACTGCTCCGCTGCCCCAGAGCCTGCATCCCGCGGCTTAACAGAGGCGCCCCGCAAGATAAGGAGCCGTTATCGAACGAGCATTCCTAGCTACTGGCTGCGCGATGCGCAAAGAACAATCCTCTCGATTACAATATTAGAAAATATATTTATTTCCCATTAATCGACTTTACATGGTTCAGCCCAGGAAAGCGAGAGGTCGAGTAGCCACTAACCTTGAAAAAACACCGCGGCTGCCGCACCGCCCCGGGACCCGCCACGGCCCCGTTACCTGCTGCTGACAGCTGCCCCGTCCCGTGGCAGCGGCATCTCCACCGGGCTGAGCCGTTCGTTCCGACAGTTCTATTTAGTCTCGGTTTCCGTAGGTGAGTACAGGCTGTCGAGCTCTTTATTGCTTTGTCTCTCCCCCTTTTTTAAACTCTAATTTATTGCTGTTAATTTTATTATTAACGTTATTATTATGTTATATTCTAGCGAGATCTTTCATGCTGCCTTGAGGATCCGCTCTTGGCATTCACCGCGTGCCTTAATTGTATGACATTAAATCAAGGTCCGCTGTGAACACGGAGAGTCAGAGCCTTGGAGCTCTCTCTCTCTCTCTCTCTCTCTCATTCTGGAAGCAGAATAGCAACTGATCCCCGAAAAAAAAACGGTAATTTGCCTCCGCCCTAGTCCCAGCCTGGCCTGGGCTGCATGTAATTCCTGCTTGAGTTTTCTTACTAGCCCGTCTGTTGTTTGCAATGCCCAGGAAGCTGTTAAATATGAATTTAATTGATTTTTTAGAAAGAAATTAAAAAGAGAGAAAGAAGAAGTTAAGCTTGTGCCTATTGCACAGTTCCAGGAGACTACTTTAATTTCGCCAGCGTCTTCGCGTGATTTTAAAGGCAGGAGTTGGCTCTCCCCGACTCGACGTCTGTGATTTGGCATCCCTGGCTGGGAGGGACTGTGTCCTTCCGGCTGCCCCAGTCCTGCGGCTCCGCCGGATGGCGGGCGGGGGGAGCCCGCACCCCCAGAGCATCGCAGCTCCTCTCGGCCGGGGGGGGGAGCAAGGGGCAGAAGGGGTCTTTCGGCGGTGAAAAATGAAAGGGCAGACGTGTCATCTTTCTTTGTAAAGCGGAAAAAATTCAGCTCACTCGCACCTGCCCCTTTCCCGGGAGGGTCTGGGCAGCCCATCTGGCCTGCACTGAATGGGGCAAGTGAGGAAATGAGGGGTGAAGTCATTACAATAATCATAATAATAATAATAAAAAAAATCATCCTGACTTTTTTTTTTTTTTTTAAAATTGTTACTACGGCTATTGCCATCTTTCACGGCTCAGGACAGGGACCATTCCTTTTCGGTGCCTATGGCACAGAGTAGAGGAGCGGAGCGGCCATGCACCATGCATCGCCCTAGGGCTGAACCCCGGCCGGACCCTGGGAAACGGGCGGGCTGACCTCGACTGCTGTCTCTGCCCCAGGGGCCGGGAGAGAGAGAGGAGGCAAAGCAGGCTGCGCAGCGGCGGCTGCCGGGTTCCGGCGAAGAGCTGGCCTTCCTGGGGACTTCTCCCATGGCTTGCCGGGGCATCCTGAGGCAAGCTGGTCAGGGGGCTCCGGTCTCTCCCGGCACCGCAGCTCTTGGCGACGGCCGCCTGGAAAACAGACAAAGCGAGAGCGTTAGAGAGGCAGGCGGGGAGGGAAGGAAGGCAGGCGGGAAGGGAAAGGAAGACAGGCGGGGAGGGAAGGGAAGGGAAGGCAAGGAGGGAAGGGCGCCGGGAGACCGCACGCCGCTCGGTTGTCAATGACAAAAGGGAGAGAGGGGGGAATCAGAGCAGGGGAAGGGCGGGGAGGAAAGGGGAAGGGGAGGAAGGGAAGGAAGAGAAGGGAAGGGAAAGGGGGGCCACACGAACTGACGCGAAGCTGGGGCCGGCCAGACCCGAGCCTCTGGACTGCTCACTCCGCAACCGAGGAGGCACAAGACAGAACGCCCCTCATCGCAGCGCCAGGGCGAGCCGGTACCTGGGTCTCTGCAGCGCGGTGGGAACCGGCCAGCCGCGGGTAACCGCAGAGAGCAACCTCCTTGCCCGCCTCTGCAAAATCCCCCAAGGGCAAAAGTAGGGGGAAGCTTAAAATTATAATATATTTAAAAACAATTTAAAAGAAAAAAATGAAGGGGGGGGGGCGCAGTTCTTCCTTCTTTCTCGGCTTGAAGAACGCAAGACAGCAAAGTGAGAAATCCATGGGGAGAAATCCAAGCATCCAAATAAAAATAAGTACTATCAACCCACTCCAAACACTTTAAAAATCGTAATAAAAACCAAAACGGTCAAACCTGCCGAGGGCTGGCGGCTCCTCCACCCAGCCGGAGCTACGGAGCG